TAAATATAAAAGTTTAATTAGTAATGAATGTGCTTTTATAAAATTTTGTAATTTTTTAAAGCGTTTGTTGTCTTTATAGTACAAGTTAAAACTTTTTATTTAAGATATCTTTAATTAATTTTATATAAATTTTTATATAAGATTCATAATTTTTTATAGATTTCAAATACAAATATTATATTATATTTTTATATTTTTATATTATATTTTATTTGAATTTTACATGAAATTTTATATAAAATTAATTACAAATATTGTAATTAATATGCTTAACTTGTATTCTAAAAATACAAGTTAAAAAATCATTTTTTTATAATTATGTAGATAAAAGTTAAACAAATAAGCTTTTATAAATTTTTATAATTTTTGTTATAATCATGCCAGATAAAAGTGATACAAATAAAAAAGATAAAAAAGATAATATATCTTTACTCATTTCAATATTTAAATTTAAGATTTTTAACATTAAATTTTAACCTCTTAATTACCAAGAGACATTTCGAATATTGTGCACGATCCTCATACTCCTTGGTGTTTAACCATTCCCATTTTTATTTCATTAACTGAAACGTAATCTATCTAGGATGGAAATAATTTTTGTTTCCAACTGTGTGATGCAACGTTGTTTAATGATGGATAGTACTTCTAGTAGATAAACTTACAGTTTGGGATCTTAAAGATCAAACTAGTTAATTATATTAAAAAGGCAAAAATGCTAGAAGCACGATGTCATGTATCATATTACGTAATATCACATAAAATTAAATGCATAAATTTATATAGAAAAATGATTTTGGATAATCTTTTGATATTATTTCTTTATGCAATTTAATATGTTATTAAATTATTAATTTTTTTTATTTATGTAAGATTCATGATACTGACCAGTGTGCTGATACATACTTATTATTTGATTAATTCAAAATGGTATAAAGTTTACTTTCATTTTCGTCAAATTTCAATTATTTTGATCAAAATTTGATGTATTAACTCGTATTTTACATACTAACTAGTACATTGAAAATTGGTAGGTATAAATCCATTCAAATTTAAAAATAGTTAAATATTATTTTTAGTTTTCAATTCTAAGGCTTTGCATAATTTTTATTTTTAAAATTTTAAATTTTCTTTAACTATGAAAAATATAATTTTGTAGTCATTCTGTCAGTTATTCTATTAAATTTGTTTAAATATGCATATCTTTAATCCCTTAACTTAAAATAAAAAAACAAAAAAATTGTATATATTAAAAATTAAACAACTAAAAATAT